TATTATAAGATATAATTAAAAGTCTTTACTTATAAAAAAATACTTCTGCCATATACAGGTTTACTTAAGTATGTCCATCGCACGATAACATGATCAGCTAAATAATACAAAATCTTTCCCGTTAATGAGAAAGTTTTAACTCTACAAAAACTCTCTATAAATATAATAACATTTTCTGTAATAAACAGAATTTTAAATAAAAATGCTATGACACATAAAGGTATACAGGTGCCAGGACCATTGCATAAAATAAGCTCCGGATTTTCTCTCCATAAAATTGGAAGACAACTTAGTGTGGCAAATATAGTGGTCCAAATTGATGTGAAGTATGACTGCCGAACTTCACGACTTCTATAAATTTCTACAATTTTGTAATCTGTATTGCCATTTTCTAGATCTCTAACTTTTTCTGCACTAAGTTTATCTGTCTGAGCATGAATATATACTCTAGGCGAATAATTCTTAATGTTTAAATATTTAACAATTCGCAACATTTCGGCTGTGTGTCCACCAGATCCTAATATTATCATTGTTTTAATTGAACAAGACTTTTCTTTAGGTTTAGTGTTTTTCATAAATATCAAATAACAAGCTCTAGCAAGTATCAATATACAGGCAAACACAGCAAAGATAAAATATTTCACGTACATCTTCTTGTTTTATTTGCTGAAAAGAATATTATGAAATATAATTGATATATATACAAATTTACAAAGGATTAAATTACATTAATAATAATTCTTACTAACCTCACTACAAATTATGTTTCAGTTCATCAACTGGAAAAATAAATAAGTTATAAATTAAATTATCAGTTAAATTATAGATTTATGTAGAGATTTGCTTTTGTAAATGAGTTTTTTACTTATGCTTTTTTAGTACGAAAAGTCTTCTTTTTCTTTAATTTGTAACACATTTCCATAAAGCCAGTGACACACGATACTTATTTTCCTGTTGGATTGCTAGCCGGATTAAGGTTTAAACACAATAGGCACAGGCATTAGGCACAGGCAACAGGAAATAACGAGCCATCTAATCAAAGCTCTGGGATATAATATCGAATTTACACCAGAGCTCTGATTGGACGGTTCGTTATTTGTTGCCTGTACCTATTGTGTTAAAGCCTTTAGAATCTTGCCACCATGTTAGCTACAATACTGTTACAGGGGCCTTATTCTTGAAAAGAAACGTATACAAAAGTCTAGAGAAATGCTACAGTATACGTTACGTATACTATATTATTTCCTTAGACTTTCGTATATAGTTCTTTTCAAAAATAAAACTCCAGGCCTAGTTTCCGAGGGTTAAATCTGGATACTAAAAACCAACAATTGCAGTCGAGTATTCCCCTGTTCCAATCCAATTGGTTGATTCTTACATTCTGATCTAGATTAAATCCTCGGTGGAAACTAAGCCAATTGTAAAATAAACGTTCTGGATATCAACAGAGAGAAATCTGGGAGGGACCATGCCGGCTTTTTTCCTGTTACTTCGAATTCGCCTGTATACCGCCAGTAATGCCAGTATATCCATTTTCAGTTGGGAAGTACATATATTTTTTGACACTATCGATAAAATTGTATCGTCGAAAATAAATGTGGTTCGTGTCTGTGAATATTCATCTTTCCTATGGATAGTCGACATGCTTCTATTTTAAGGATTTAGTACAGATATGAACCACATCTACTTTCGACGATACGATATCGATAGTAATTGTCGATAATGTTAGAGTTCTTTAATTATCGGGCCCTTGGGGCCTTTTTTATACTACAGAAAATTTGCCAAAGATTGACGATCTTTAAGGTCCTGTGCATAATAGAAGAAATAAGAAATTAGGAATATAGAATAAATGATTTCAACCTATCAAAAATCGTGTATTCCAATGTATCCAATTTTTGATAGGTTAAAATCGTTTATTCTTTATTGCTAATTCCTTAATTGCTTTATTCTTTCTATTGTGCGCAGAGCCTAATAGTATATCATTGGTCGTTTAATACAGATTTATTTGTGTAGAAGTTTAATACATGTGTATGAAAGTGCATGAAGGGATATGTAAATATACTTTAAAAGATGAATCACCAATCACCATGCTTGAAATCGTGTACTATGTGTATTTCCATGTTGAGGCGACATTTTTGAAATCAATTGCGGATCTTTAAGGTAAAATCACATGATGCGTCTATGACGCATTCTCTATTCCATAGTCGTTTTCTGCACTGTGTGATTTCACCCTTAGAAATCTAGTGATTTTAGGCGATTTCACGGTAACAAAGAAAAGGTCGGCATGGCCTCTCTCAGATTTCTCTTTGATATCAATCATGAAATCAACACTTTTTTTCAGGATGAAAAGTGAAAAGTGAAAAATTTCTCTATTAATTTCAATGATTAAAATTTTCATTTTTCACTTTCCAATTTAGGGATGAAGTTTCATGATTGATATCCAGCTGAACGCAGCCAATAAGCTTACAGCTCCTAAAATGTTCATTGGTTATCACGTTACATCTTGCATCGAATTTGGCACCACTGCTTCGATGGAAATTGCTGGAAAAACTAGACCACTCTCTACCACGCCATTTTTATTTATATGTGTATGGATATGGATGGAGAATAACGAATTGGATCAGATTGACTTGGTCGTGTAAATTCGTTCAGATCTGTTGGACAAATCCGTAATAGTCGAGAGGTGATTAAAAGATGTGTCGCTTTGCAATATGTGTGTGATGCGAATCATCGGTATATGCAACGGGCGACATTTTCGTGAACATTTGGCGTGAGGGCTGTTCACGCAAACGCTCGATCGCGGTCCGTGTGGTCTGGAGTAGTGTTAACCGTGAATCGTCTGCAATATTCTTCCCAGTACTTTTCTCAATAAAATGGACCACCGCCAAAAGGTAAGCCAATAAAAGCAGTTTGCATGTGCAACAAACGATGCGTCAGGAAAAACGATCTTTCTCGTTTGTCAATGGATCTTCGGAGAAAATTTAAGCACTTCGATAAGGCATTGATCAAAACCTAAATGTCATACAACAAGATAGAAATTTATTTACCAGCAAGAATTGTAAGAATTATTCGTATATTTTGCGACAACCTGTCTATCCGCGCGTGCTTCTCATGGAGTTGTCAACGCTACAAAAACCTAATGTTATTTTGTATTGTTTCTTTCTTGTTATGATCTACTATTTATAAATCTATCTTTGTAGTTGAATTAGTATAATATACATTTGTACTTAAGATGAAATAAATATACAGGACATATACTAAGTATTAAGGTTCAGTAATTAATTAATAAGATAAATGAAAAGTTAAAAATTTTTAACTTAATTCAGTTAATTGTAAAAAATTGATTTTCAACTTAATTTAGTTACTTTTAAACTTTAATTTATTAACTTTTTTCTTTTTTAGTTAAAGTTTTTTCTATTTTTTTAAATGCTAATGTTATTTTCTATAAGATATTAAACATTAGACAATTTAATTAGAAAAGTTTAATTAGAAAAAACTCAATGATTGTGTGATGGATGCAACTTTTGTAGTATCTAGAGATAATGGATTGGATCTGCATTTAAGAAATACTCAGTGCTATGACATGCCCAACATAAAGAGGAGTACAACATTACTTACATTTTAAAAAATTATATTTAATTTTTTTATAATTATTTAAATATGAAAATATATATGTAAAAATACTAAAAATTAGTATTGTATAAAAAAATCAGAAATAATTTTGTAATATCATGTTTCATATTCATTTACAAATAAAATATTAAATTTATCTGATAATTTATATCGTAACTGTTTTATTATTTAAAGTAATTTGATTTTTAAAAAAATTTTTTAAAATTAATTTTTTATTTATTCGTTTAACTAAATTAATTTTATAATCCACTTTAACTTAATTTGATTTAAAAAAAAACATTAACTTACTCAATCCTATTAAGTATGCTAAAAGATTTTAAGATTTATGGGCTTCTTCTTATATAAATTCAAGATTTGAAAATTTTATATGATCATATATCTGAAACAGCTTAGTTCTTTATTAAAAGAAGGTCTAGCTTATTCTTAATCATCCTTGATAATAAAAAAATAATCCCAAAAGATGTGTGTGAGATAGTATCAGTATAAATGAGATTTTATGTCCTTCAAACATATATAAAATTTCATTGTAATAAATAGTTTTCGAAAATTTGTAAAAATGAAATTTTTTGTAACTTTAAAATCTTTCCTTCAAATATCTTTGAAATTAAACCGTTTTGAATATATGGTCATATGAAGTTTTTGTCTTGAATTTATATTTCTTCCTTTAAAATCTGTTAGTATACATCCTATAAGTTAGTATACATCCTCAAATACATCCTATATATCTAGAGTTTGGTGAAAGCGAGAAAGCGAGATAAATTGGCACAATCATCATTCTATCTTTCTTGACATTGAATGAATAACAAAAATGTTCGACTATTGCGTCGATTTGTGTCATCAAATTAGAGAGTATCAGAAAATTTTAGTTAAGTGCGACAAAGAATAGATCTTATGTCTCATGTCAAGTTTCATAATTATTTTACTTTAGATGATTGTAATTCCTCAACAATCAAAAATCAAAGTCGAGGATGATGATGACGAAGATGTGGAAGCACTGAGATTAGCAGCGCTTAAGTCATTACGAACAAAAAATGTCATGCATAAAAGGCTATCACAGGTGCAGAAAGTGTTACCACAAATAACACAATCATCCCGTTTTCCATATAAAAATCAACGGTCTATGAAAAAAAATTATTACCATAACAGGGTGCAACAAAGGCAAAATGGCGTAAGTTTTCAATTTATATATTTTTAATTTATTAATTGTAACAGTAATTTTACATGTAAATATTAAACATTATCATATTTTATGATGCATTTAAATATATTTGAATAACTTTTTTAAAAAGCTTTTAAAATGTGTTCAAAATTTATATGATAATTTTTAAGTCATTTTTTCTGATTCAACATCTTCAGTTTGTACATTTATGTTTTATATTTGCAGAATGTGTATTATCAGAGCCATCGTAATCCGAACTTGATAGCGATAGTTCCTGTAGATGAACCTTCTCCATTTCAACAAGCCCAATTAGCTTGTCCCCTAGAAAAGACTGAGTCTTGCGTAGAATCGTGTCCTCAAGGTAAGCTTATATTTTTATGTAGAATGAATAATATTAAATATATCAATAATAATGTATTTTTTTTTTAGAATAAAATAATAATGTAATTGTATGTGTAATTTTAGAAGTATCAAAATTCCATCGTTTTAAAGATAGTGGGAGTGCTTCTGAAGAAGAAGATATAAAGGAGCAGAAAAATGTTGCGTCTATAAAGACAGAAATTGTATCAAAAGAGGAATCTGTTGAATTTTCAGTAGAAGTGGAAAGTCAGGAAATTACAGAGAATCTGCAGAAGAATGGTGATGAACAAGAAGAAGATGGTAATGACGATGATGATGATGTACTCTTAATGGCTGATCTTGAAGAAGAAGACAGTTTAGAACGCTTAATGGACGAGATGGAAAGGGAAATGAATGATGAAAATAAGATATCTGAAAAAGGAGAGAAAAAATTGCATAAAGATTGCGAAACTAAAAACACAGTGAAAAATGATGAAGGAAGTAAAAATTTAGATCAGAAGACAAAATCAGACGATAGCTATGGTAAGAAGGAAAGAAATAATGTTATTACTCCATCTTTAACCACAATTATGAAAAATGATAGAAGATCAGTTTCTCCACACGTAATGAATCGAGTTATTCAAAAACGCAGGTCGTTATCTCCAAGATCACGATCACGAAAGAAATCGCCAAGAAGATCTCCTAGAAGATCTCCAATCAGACAACTGAAAAAGTCTCCGAGAGAAGTATTGACAAGGTATAGATCCCCTCCATTATCACGATATTCCCCTAGATCTAGATCACCCAGACTCTCACCACGCAGATCTCCAAACAGAGCAACTATAAAAAAATCTCCTCTTAGAAAATTATCACCAAGAGGCAGATCACCTAAACTTTCGTCGCGCTCCAGATCGCCTCGGCCACACAGATCAAGATCACCGAGACGATCAAAGTCTCCAAGGCCGCGTTCCCCTAAAGTATCACGTTCTAGAACGCCACGATTATCAAGATCAAGTTCGCCAAGATATTCACCGATTAGATCTCCTAGATCCAAATCACCTAGATTATCGCCGAGAAGACTGTCACCACGTCGATTACGGTCCAGGTCTAGATCTCCTGGTTTATCTTCTCCTCGAAGAGGATCGTCTCGCTTGCGATCGCCAAAAGCATCGCCGCATAGAACACCATCTCGTTTGAGATCACCGCGACTTTCGCCACGCAAATCACCGTGGTCATCTCCAAGACATTCACCTCGTCTTTCACCACGACGCAAGCGATCCCCGAAGTGGTCACCTAAAGAATTACCTAGAAAGCACGGTCCACGTTCCATCACTCCAGATAATCGAGACGGATATGTGAGAGAATCGTCTCCAATTTTTAAAAGTACAGAAATGTCCAGAACGAAAGCAAAGCAGAAAGATGAAGTATATGAAAGACCAACAATGATGATGGAAATAGCAAAGGATCCTGTTGATATAATTAGTGATCCTGTACTAGAAGCAAGGAAAAAGAAATTTGAGTCTATGCGGCCTATCGATCCTGTAAATGCTAATAAAAGGATTAAATTATCCAAAAAACACACTACGAATACGAAAGTAGGACATTCAGAAGGAACTGAAATTCAATTGAGTAATGCTAGAAAAGCAAACAAAACTGTGGAGGAATATGATGTTCAAGAGATGGATTTATGTTTGGAAGTAGATTATGAGTTTGAAGAATGTGAAGAAGCAATGGAAAATACATCGCCAAGCGCTTTTACAAGTACTATAAATATAGAGGCGGAACCACAAAAAACAGAAAAAGAAAAATCTAAGAAAAAAAAGAAGCGCGATAAGGAATTATATCAAGTGGGAAAATTGAAGAACGAATTACCACTTTCCGAACGTATTGGAAAAGACAAGAAGTGTAAGAAACGTAAAGATATAGTTGCTGAAGATGTGGACACTATATTTGAAGATATAACCATAGATGAGGAAGGAGATTTACGAGCAGAACTTAGCAGAAGACGTGCAGAAAGATTGAATAGAACAGTACCGATTCAGTCCGCTAGATTGGTGCAGTCAGCTTTTAAAGGCGTTGTTAATGAGTAAGGAAATAATACTGTACACAATATTATTATATTTTTAATTTCTTTTATAAGTTTCACTTATTTTGTTTTACGTTTCTTTGTAGAGCTGTGAAAAATAATGCAAAAGCCAATCAGAGGCATGTCATTAATACTGATGAGAAATGTAAGTATTAATTAAATATATCTATATATTTAATATAATATATCTATATATTTAATTACTTAGCATTAGTCAATTTCTTTCTTTTTTTTTCATATTCAAATAATTTTTAATAATGAATGTTTTTTTTGTAGCTAATCAAAAGGAAGTTAGACGAGTTACTGTACTACATAGATCGTTAGCTGAATTACATGATTCCGAAGGTAATTACAATATCTTTTTAAAATGTATAAAATATTAATAGTATTTATAAATTTTTAATAGTATTTATAAATTACAATACTATTAATTATTTGAAATATTTTTTTATTGAAATGATTATTAGTTATAATGATTATTAGTATTAGTTCTATTACTTTTCTTTATTATTCTATTAGTTTTCTGCGCGCGCGCGTGTGTGCGTGCGTGTAAAAAAAAATAATGTTCTATATGTATAATATAGAACATACAAAACACACACACACACACACACACACACAAGTAACTAAAATAAAAGTATAAACTTCGGGAGTAAGCTCTTCACATGCCAAACATAAAAAAAATTCGATATATATCCACAAACTTGTTATTAGATAAAGCTCAAACAACTGTTTATTAATGCAAAATGAAAACATAATGCTTATTATTATTAAAATGGACACAAAACAAAGAATTAATTAGACAAGGACCGAAAGCAATAGTTCCGTTTGTAAATAGTGAATTGCATTAATAAACATTTGTTTGATTGTAAACTCTCGTATACATATATGGGATGTTCCTTTTAAAGGCTTTGGATACAATTATTTCCTGAACTATTCTTTATATCAAAGAATTTTTTTTAAGTGGATCTTACAATGGGTGATCAAATTATTAGAACCATCTGCATAAATTAACTATTTTACGTTAAAATTGTAATCAATTTTTAGATTAAAATATACGATACTGTGTTATTATTTTATTATTATATATTTTATTATTTTTTTTATGAAATATATTTACAAATCTAAAATATACCCTTGGCACCACTGTAGATAACACTGTCTCTCATTTATTGCCATTATCTCTCATTAACATCCTTTAATTACCCCATTGAGAATCTTTGAGAATTGACAAAATGTAAACTTTCTAAAGAATGTATCATCAACGAACATCAATTAATCGTGCATTTGATTAATGTGTGTTATAGAAAATAAACTGCTTAAAATGTAATAGTAATAGAAAGTATACTCAAATTAATTGATACGATAATTGTAACAAAAGATGGCGTTATCAAGTATTAATTTTATTGTCATTTTTACTTTATGATTCATAATTATACAAGATTTCTCTTTAATATTCATTAAAAATTATTGTATACAAAACTTAATATATTGATTTTATTTCTACACAATCTCGGAAACCACATTTTTCAAATTACGGCTTTAATAATATTATGATCATCTACTTTATTTAAAAATGGACTTTTTTGATGATCACAGATCCTCTCGAGGTGGATATGTCTCCCAAGATTTTAAAGTGATCTTTATTTTTTTTAAATAGAATTATATAGGTTTTTTTACATATAATATAGTTTCTTTACATAATATAATTTCTCTAATTATTCTGTATATAAAAATATTATGGTAGAGATACCTGAGATACCAAAAAATCAATAGTTTATGAGATATTTTATGTTATATTTTGTTTAAGAAAATATGTAAGCAAAATTGATAATTTGTTAAATAAGTAACTGTGTTTTCTTTACACCAATTGATTCATCTCATTATTTTGTTTATAAAAATATTAAGGTATGATTATTAAAAAATTAATATTTTACGAGATATTTAATATTTTATGTCAATATGTGTATCACAATAAAGTTTAAAATATCTCGTAAATTGATTTATTATTGATTTTTTGGCATTTCTACCTTAATATTTTCATATGCGGAATAATTAGAGGAATCATATTATGTAAAAAAAACTACACAATTCCATTATATATATAAAAAAATAAAGGTCACCTTGAAATCTTAGAGGCACGTCTACCTAGAGAGGATCTGTGACCATCAAATATGTGCTCCTCCAAACAAAGTAAGTTCCACTTGAAACATTTTAGCATAGCGAATAGTTTGAAAGAGATAATTGCGTCCGAAGTTTCAAATAGGATATCCTGTATATAAAGAAAAATTAATATAAAATAAAATTTTACAAACTATTATATTCTTATTTTTCGTTTACAGATGAAAGTACTCTTGATTCGAAGGTACCTGTACGTCTCAGATTGGGACTCAATAAGCAAGTGCAAGAGTCCAGGGAATCAAAGGTTACTCGTAAAGCAACCAAAAGACAGGGTCGTAAGGTAAAGCACAAAAATCATTTGTCTCTAAAAGATCCTGAATATATTTTGTAGTGTAAATTATGGCTTTATATCTCTACTCTAGATTTATAAGTAGTGTGATATTTATATTTTGTGATACTATCAAGTTAAGTATATGAACAGAAACATCTTAAAATATTGTTTATATTTTCATTGATAATAATAATAGAATGACGGTAGATTTAAAGATATACAAATAATGAAATTTTCAAATCATTACGTTTTATAATTTATTATAATTTTATGTGAACGATGCAATCTGATGTAAACTGAATAATAATTAACTCTTATAATTGAATTAATGAATTAAATTAACAAATAGAATTTTTTAATGTGCTTACTAATGAAACAGTATCACATTTTAAAAGAAAATACTTTTTATTTATAATGGACGTTATCGTTTTATTAAAAACTATTACCTTTGTGGTATATTGTCACAAAAAATAATTTATCAACCAAGTTACGTGAAATTATCTACAGAACAATATTGTGTGCCTTTCATTAATATAACCAGAGAATAATATAAATGTCGCGAGATAATTTGCGTTATTGAATTTTGTTAAAGGAATAAAGAGCATGTTTTCGTGATGTAGATATAGATTTTGATAAGATTAAATATTAAAAAAAGTAACAATGTAGAATTTTTTCCAAAACGTTTACATTTTATCGCGTAATTCTAAACTCAGTAGAGTTCAGTAGAAAATAAAGATGATCTGTTTTTTGTTTAGGAATAAAATAAATACGCGTTCATCCGATTGCATATTTGTATGAAGAGAGAAAAGCGGTATAGGAAGATGCGCAGATTAACGGCTACGTTATCTCATTTATGAAGCATCTCCTTTTTCTTTTTAAATATAAAGTACAATAACATTTAGTTATTGCACATTTAATTAAAGTAATAATAATATTGAAAATCCAAATTTCGATATCTTACAATTTAGATGTACTCGATTATTTATCATTATACATTGCTTAGGAAAAATTGATTACGTGTGATTATATTAAATCATTTGTTGTGTTGAAGAATATGTACATAATTTACTTTGGTCGCACACTTAATAAACAAGAATCATTAATAATCCCAAAGCTACCTTTTAAAAAACCTAAGCATATTTTACATGAAAATAGTAACGTATAGGTATATTTTAATTGTATATAATGCTTAATACTGAATTAAAAAGAATATGTAGTATAGCTGTAAATTCGATTGCGTGTGGCACCAAATATCTTGTACAAAATATCGCATTAACAAACAAAGAATGCAACTTGTTAAAATTTATTTGCTACGCGACGTATTTTTAATGAAAGCAATCTGTAAATGTTAAGATCTGATCTATGGAATTTTATAAATCGATAATACACTTTATTGTGTACATGTGCTCGTTCTATTAAAAAATTTATTGCGGTAGTAAATTAACGGATAAAATAATCATTTTTTATGTCTATTTTATGCTGAAGTATACTACATTTATATAAATGTAGTGTATTATTCTTCAAAATTGTTTAAAAATTGTATACACTAATTTTATACGTTTGGCGGCAAATTACTGTAAATATTATTATTGTTATACATAAATATATATTTTTATTGTATCCTCTCTCTCAGGAAGGTACAGTTCTATTCAGAAGAAGATACAATTATATATTATACTCAATGTATTTTACATAACTATATTTAATTAATAGCCGCAGAATAATATATAGTATTGCTTTGCATTATATTTCCACATTAATAATTAGAATATAGTATACATCACTATAATATATGTATAGTCCAATATGCGTGAACCTTTTTGGGTTATTGTGCATAAACTCAGTCTATTTCGGAAACGATGTTCATATATCAAGCTAAATACCTCATAGTATCTATGAAGGTGTAAATGCTGCTTTTACGTCAATAAAAAATAATACGACATTTATAAAAATTTTTTTCTCTAAAAATGTTTCTACAAGTAGGATAGGAGGCTTTAATATTAAATTTTTTAAAATTTTATATATATATATATATTATATATATATATATATATATATATAATATATAGTGTGTATATGTATACACGCATATACACACAGGGTGTCATTTTAAGTGATATATTGAAATATCTTGCAAAACATAAAAGACGGAAAATGTTTTAAACAAAAATTGCTCAGTTCCTAGGAGGAAAAAAATTAATGAAAGACTGATTGTCTTAGAGAAGATGTCCTTAAAGTCAAGGTTACCTAAAATTTTTTAAATGGAAACCCTAATTTTTTATTTCATGTTCATATAGCTGATGTCAAGACCTTTTCAAAATACTATAATAAAATAATTTTTCATTGAATACTTTACAAATTATGGAGTTTAAAAGTTAACAGGTCTGGAAGCGCTTTGTTTGACTACGTTAATATTGATCACCAATTGTTATAACTGGTGTTATTTTAAATGGAAACCCCTACTTTTTTTATTCCAAAAATGAAAAGAGCAGAGAATTTTACGTTTAAATAGGCTATCATGAAGTGCTATCAAATTAAGTGTTGACCTAACTTTCAAGCCTCATAATTTGTAAAGTGAAAAAATGAAAGAATATTTTATATAAAGATTATGCGTTTCACGGATTTTCTCCGTGTCCAGATTCATTCTTGGAATGCCAATCTTTCGTGAACCTTGCAGTCCACTTTATCAGGACGAGGAGCAGCCTGATACTTTCGAAAAAATATTTTATTATAATGTTTTGAAAAGTCTTGATTATATGTAGGGCAGTATTTGAAAGACATTAGATATATTTAAAATATGTATTTAAATACATTTTTGTATTTCGTATTTGACTTTTTTTGAGAGTATTTTGTATTTTGCATTTAAATACTTTTTTTTTAGTATTTTGTATTTTAAATTTGTAAATACTAAATACATTTAAATTATGTAAACAATTTTTTTGATTAAAATTGAATCATTGTTGACTCAATCTAAAATGCGTTCCATTTCATGCATGATGTGAACAATGCGTCATTTATCCTTGTTTACATTTGGTGAACAACAACATCTAGCGTTGTGTCCGAGCCAAGAGTGGGCAGTATTTAAAATACAATATGTATTTAAAATATGTATTTAAATACTTTTTTTATTTTATTGAGAGTATTTTGTATTTTGTATTTTAATACTTTTTTGAGAGTATTTTGTACAATATTTAAATACAATTTTTTGAGTATTTTGTCCACTCCGATTATATGAAATAAAAAAGGGGTTTCCATTAAAAGAATTTTAAGTAACTTTGATCTGACTTAAGAAGACATTTTTTTTTAGGCCAACCAAAGTCATTACTTTCTTCCCTCCTAGTAACTGAGTAACTTTTGTTTAAAATATTTTTCCGCAGTTTTTCGAAATATTTCAATGTATCACTTAAAATGATTTACCCTGTGTATATATACATATATATATACACATATATATAAAAATGATAATATTAATCTTTAATACACATCTTTGGGTCATTCGTGTTCTGCGCATTTCTTTTCTTGGAAATACTAAAAGCCAACTGGTCAAATACTGTCTCTTTTCTATTCCTAAAAAAAGTTTGGCATGTAGAGAACAAGTTTTGTGCGTTGCCGGCCTCAATTCGTGCGTATCCTTTAACTGCTGTATTTCTGAAATTCACCTCTGGGTCACAAATGACTCAACGTGTGTACAGAGTGTACATTTTTTGTAATTAAAAAATTTTTATTTATTTTTTTTTGTTATTTTCAACTAATTCTCGGTTGTATTACGGAAACATTTTGCGAATTATTAAAAAAAAATTTAACCCTAGAACAACCCAATATTAGCCCTTAATAAACACGTCTTTTGGCACTCTTGTGCTAAACGTTGTGAGTAATATTATATATTATGTTGTCTGTAATGTTATAAAGAACATTATTATAAAGAACATTCAAATAAATTATAAGTTTTTTAAACACAGTAGCAATAATAAAATGCATTATTCAATTTCATCAGCCATTCAATAGTCATTCATGCATATTAAAAAAAATATCATTTTCAGGTTACTCAATAATTAAATTTTTTGGACACTCGAACTTTTTTTTTGATAGTTTGGAATGTCAATTTTAAGATATTGAACTATATTTTTCCTTTAATCGTTTTTATTTTAGAATTTCATATTTTTAGCAGTGCATTTATTTCATTTTATTAATTATATTTAGCTATAACAATTTATCTACAATTTGTTATGTATAACTATATAAATACTTTCTAAAGATGTCAAAATATATGTAAAAATCATTTAATAATTTATATATACTTGTAAAAGTAATGAAAATTAAATCCAAGACATGAATGACCGAACATGTGTAGTAAGAGTGCCAAAAACTAAGGTGTGTACTAAGGGTTAATAACATATGCGTGCCTTTATTTATATTTAATTAAAAATATGTAATTGTTTTTTTTTTTAATAGTAAACGTATTAATGCTATAAACACGCTGGCTAAAACGAACATTTTTAGCATCCCATTATATTTACACATCGTATATGTGTAAATCTGTGACATCAACTCTAAGAGTTGTATAATATCTTTATAGCTAGAACTGTAACGAAAGACTGAAATGGAATTATAAGCCTTAACCAGTCCATAAATGTTGTGTGATATTTGAAGGGATTTTTATAGTTTCCCTTATGCGCGTTTCGATTATCTTAGAATAACACAGACAGTTATGCGTAATAATATTTAAAAGATGGATTAAATAATTTTTATTACATTTATGCATGGAGTAATTCTATGTATGCAAAAGTTTTTCTTAAATATTTAATTATAGCACATATCAAAAATATTTTATATATGTTACAAATAATCTTGACAAATAATTTATACAAATAAATTTAACAAATAATGATATATAGATGTATTTATTTCAACAGCATATTTTAAGATAACTTGTTTTGCAACCGTTGTCTGCCGCTTAAATTTTTTAACTTAATATGAAATTTAAGAAGAATATTCATTGTTATATATATATGTATGTGTGCGTATATGTATATATATATATATGTATGTATCGCAATTATATTTCATTTCAACTTCTGTGTTATTCTATGATGCAACTGCGATTAAATCACGATTTTAATTGTTAATAATTATTTAATTTATTAAATTAATTTTGTCATAGGTAAATACAGATGGGAGTAATTTGTTGATAATCTTTAACATTATATAATTGGATATTATTATAACTTATTAGTATCACCTATAATTTATTTTAATTTGTTTTTTATTTTTTATATTTCATTATTAATGGTAATTCTAGATCAATGTTATAAAAAATTAAAATCGAGATTTTTACATTTACTTTGTGTCATTCTTTTTATTCAAAACAACATTTACAAGTTTATTTCGTGAACAATTTCTATATTTTAAAAGATTATAGGTTATAAAAGAAATTTTATGCGTTATAATTGTAGAAAAATTTTGTATCTTATATTTATTATCAAAATGTTTAACCATCTGTAATTTACCGCGCGAACGCTTGTACGTATGAATGTATCTATTTATATATCTAAGTATATTTGTACTTATACAAATTTTTTCTACCAAAAGAACAAAAAGATTATCGTATATATACTTCCTACTTAGACGTAGTGACGTTGATATCAAGAACGAAATATCAGTGAGGTGTGTTTCCTACGTCACTTAGACTTAATTGAAAATCTTTTATTTCAGAAAATACAAAATAAAATATTTTTCCAGCTACTTGTCGACTATTTCTTTTTGTACCGAAAAAACCTCAAGTTCCTGGCTATTCAGCTCTCATGTTATCTTTTATCTTGTTATAAATCGTGCTATATTATTTGACATTGAGTGAACGGCATTGCGCTTTATGAATATGTATAAGAATAAGTTCTTTCCGTTCAGTCACGCAAAATAGAAATGTGAAAACTAAAGAATTAAAAGTGTGAGTAACATTTGAAATACAGCGAGCAAACAGTGAAAGTAGTTTCATGTCAATTACAATTATCGATTATGTAATTATATTGTGCATAAGTTGCATCAACTTTAAATTATTGTAAATATAATACAAATGATATATGATTATGCAAAAAAAAAATAAAATTATAATGTTCTATTTGATAATGATAATATTACATGTATTATTTAATAATCATTTTAATAATAATAGAGAACATATAGAAATAGTTTTTATTTAGATCTTTTGTAAGTAAAATTAGAAATTTTCATATTATTATATACATAATTATTACTATTTTTTATATTCCTTTAATTTTAAGAAATGACGGAAGAAGAATAGTTAAAAAATTTATATGCAATTTCATTTCGCGAAACATTAAACCTGCTTATATTTTCAATATAAACAATCACTAATGCTTATTTCCATCTATAAATATAGATTAACTTTAATCTCTATTCGACTTTTTCTATTATAATTTTAAAAATTAAAAAAAAATGAAAAGTAAATTGAACCAAAATTAATCTACATCAGTGGAAACGGGTATAAGAAGTAAGGGATAGAACAATCTCTTCGGTTCAAAAATTGTACGAAAAATTATCCAGAATGATCAACACGCGATTTGATTGAATTATTAAATGATTGAATTATTAAAAGAATTTTTATGTGCCTAGAGTGACCATCTGTACTCTTTTTTTCCGGATATATATTCTTTTTTTTTCGGGCGTTCGGAGGTGTGCGGATGGATTTTCAATGTGTACTTTCTTTTTTTTATACTACTTTTGGGACTTGGGAGCGAGCGAGAGGATCGAAAGTTATTAAATCAATGTGACACTGTCACACATGAAATATATTAACACATAATACAGGATAAGCATGGAATAAGACATTAAGATCACTAAAGCAATGAATATCCAGCATAAAATCATCATATTGATTTACATAAGATGCTGATTAGTCATTATGTTTATTCACGTTGCTCATACTTTTTGTTCTCTCTCAGCATCTTCGCTTTTTCTTTTTTCAACGTCCAAATATAATCTATCTCATTTTAAGTTTAGAAATTTTTTTGTAAAATAACGTAAAATTGTAAAAAACGTAAAATTATTTTGTTCGTACTATCTAAATGAATTTAAAAGAAGTTTAAAAGAAATACAAAATAATACAGGTCTCAGATCGACAATGCCCGCTTCTATTTTATTCTTCGTTCCCTTTTTTTTTTCATGATAAATATTCTATTTCACGTGCATTGCATCTGGTCACCCTACTTGTGCCTTGCATTTATTTCCGACTGAGATGGGAGGGTCTGTTTGATCAGTAATTCCAGAACACCCGGTGCGTAGCCACTACGCGGAGTAGATTAGAACGACGCAGACGGGCGAAGTGGTTGCGGATGGTGCAGGCGCAGACGCGAACTGCCTAGTAAACTAACAGAGGCTCTTATGAGACTGGCCTGGCAATCAATGGCATGGCAGAATGCTCGAGACCAAGTTCTCTTTGACCATAGTCCGTGCAGTGCGCGCCAGAGATTACAGTTTCTCACCCTCTCCCTTCAGGGTGTGCGAATACCGCGCGCCGAATACAGCACGTTCTCGCGTGCGTGACATGCGAATCCTCGAAAATGAGATTGCGCGCATGGCTCGTGCGATAAACGCTTCGTAATAAGCTGTGCACTTCTAATAGCGATGAATCGCGCTTTGAGTTAATTAATTAATTACGTCGCGAGCAAGTTATTAAGTAACGTGGCGTTGAGCGAACGAAGTCAGGGAGTATCTCGTTTCTACTCGATCGACACGAGTCTGCGATCTGTACAGCGCGACATGCCGTTGTGACATCGGTCATCCGTGATAAATCGACGAACTAAGCGGTTAGGATCACCGGGTGGACCATGAACCATGGATACGCGGCTCGAGAACGACGCGACTTCGGAAGAGAAACGTAAAGAAGGTACGTTCGATATTCTACACTTCGATTGTCTCTTTGATTTTTCAATTCCGATGAAATCCGGGAATGGGCATGCGGCTTTTTGCGACAATACGGTGTTGTCTTATCGTTATTATTAATTATTACGTTAATGACGAGGTGATTACTTTGTTTACAGCGAAGCAGTAGTGTGGAATCTAAAATAATGCTTACATTACGGTTCTTGAAATGAAACGAAAATTACAAAAGTGATCAAATTTACTTGTTGACCAATGAAGTTATTAATATATCCAATAAATTCGCTCACTTTTATACTTTTTTTTTACCTCGTACAACACTTTTATACCTTAATAAAGTTTTGAAATTCTTACTAAAATTAGTACGTATGTTTATATATATATATAATCATCGAGATTCATATTTCAAAGATGATGATGTTGAATTATTTTCAAAAGGATGATTTTTAATAATTAATTTAACACGCGCGCGCGGAAAAGATTGTTGAAATTTTCAGATTAAATAGAAGGGATTTTGAGTTCCTTTCTATCAAAATATTTGATGATATGTGCGACAATTCCCGGATTAGATGGATTTATTCGCCGAGTGCATGCCTTTATCCGAAATTTGCCTTTTGTAATTTTGCTAATAATCGCTTTCTTAATAATTGTGCTAATAATGATCTCATACTTAATGTGCTTATCCTGTCGAGAACTTGCCATTAATTTCTAACATTAATTTCTTGCCGCTAGCTAAAACGCAATTCATTCGCTTCATTTCAGGGCTCAAAACCGGCTTAACTTATTATATACACAAGTATATAAATGTCGTATATATGTAGCCCCAAACATATCGGAATTGATTTCGTCTCAACTAACAAACTTTGCTTTGTCGAGATCAGATATCGAAGCTCGCGGAAGTAGTCTCCGTGTTTATTCGTGCCAAATCGATACACAAAACGAGCGGTGCTTATAACGTTGGATATTTTTTCTTATCTAAATTATATACCCCTCGGCTTCGTATAAACCCTCGTTTCGACTTTGAATATATTACAGCGATAACGTATTGTTCAACGAGCAGAGATCTTTATTGTCGCTGACTTGCTAAATTGTTAGATTATTATAATGAGTATCGAACCAGCGAACGGAAACAAGTCCCGGATATTTATGGGCGTTGTTGCATGTGCGAAGCGACTCTTGTGAACGCTAGAACGTTTACCGCTGATGCACACTTTCAAGCATGTCGGGAGATCAACAAGTACATGCATTCGTAGGGAAGTCGCGATGTGCACCAGGTGCTTCGCATGAATCGGTTTCAAGTTTGCATAGCCCAATGTAACGTATTGCGCGGCTCACGTTAAACGCAAATCTCTCTTTCTAATGACATGTTTCAAAGAACGCGCTTAAGCCATGGGTAGCGGAGGAGTTGGTGAAGTACCAACGATATTTCACCCCCGACGATCGCGTACGTCGAATATAACCTTCGTCGAAGATCAGCAGACCCACGGTCCGTTCATCACTCCCATCCAGATTGCGCTCCACGCTTCAGGTAAATCTGCGCGTTGATGTATAGATTGCCTTGGACCGATCTCTATCCCTCCCCCAAGTATCCTTTCGATCGCAGATACTGAGGGGTGAAGCTAAGGAGAGTGATAGCTTATTGATAACTACTATCGCGAATAATTATTCGAGATTTTGAAACATTGAGGATTAAAGAATTAATGAAGTGTGTGTGTGTGTGTGTGTGTGTGTGTGTGTGTTCAGTAGTTTTAATCTCATCTTTATTTTAATAAAATTTTATGTTAAGATTTTAACGATAAAATAAAAGAGTACTTAAACAATAAAACAAAATTTTGTCATTTTTTTAATTGGATGCCGTCACAAAACAGTTTTCATTTAATTGCAAAATTATATATTGTACTCTGTCGATGTGATGAGAAATAGATGAATAATTTCAAATTTTACCAAATTTTTTCGAAGCAAATTATCGATTTATTTGACATCGAACCTGTGGCTGGAAGAAGATACAATGAATTTAAGATGATATCCTGCATAATTATCACCGACAATTTCGATTTTGATTGGAGAATGCAAAATCTAGCAACGATGGATTTACACAACACACATACACACGCACGCACGCACGCACACTAAAATAGCATAGCATCTATAGTATTTATATCCAAGAGAAGAGAAATTTAGAATAAGAAAGCCTGATGTATCATATAGCTCTTTAGTAATAAGTTTTAGTATTAGTATTTTCGCATATATTATTATTATTAAAGTGCTCGCATGATATACGCATAACATTTCGCCTAGTATTATTCAAATGAAACTGCAAAATTTCAAAACTAGGACACGCTTGTATTAAATTAAAGAAAGTAGCACATAAAAAAATGTCTTCAAAAATTATTTTTTACACATTAATATTACGCGTGCGCACACACTTTACATAGCTTTTTATTCAGACAGAAGAAGAGCCAGATAAAAATAAATTTAATTAAAAATATTAATTTAATTAATTTAATTGCAACATAAATTTAATCCTAACTTTTTTTCATTGTCTAAAATTTATAATCCACAACGATCTATAGATAATTAGGTATCTATGGATATAGTTAGTTAAAATATACGCTGTCTAAAATTCTCTTTACGCATGAATAAATTTAAATAAAAATATTATAAGACATCTTGAGACGAAGATTCAGAAAGAACGTCAATATTTCAGGATGCGAGCAACAGCAGGGTTGCAGCGTCGTCGACGGATGCGGCGATTCTGCGCCAAGTTGTCGCACCCTAGAGGCTACCGGAAGTGCCGGCAGCGGTGGCGATAGTGGGACCGGCAGTGTGCAAACGACAAGCCAAACTCAATCCTCAACTCATGTGATCTCTGCTCCAATAGTTCAGCAACCGCAACAACCAAGCTCGATTTCGGCCTGCGTCGCCTCCTGTTGCGCGGAAAGCGCGAAGAAGGTCGATTGCATCTTTAATATGAAGTTGAAATTGTGGATAATAGATGAAACAAAATAGAGATTAGATAAAACTCTAATGATTAAATGAAAATCTCAATTTAATACTCAAAATATTACGTTGATAATGTACAATGAATATGTTTATTGAGACTCATAGCGAATTCAATCAAACGTGCGCACTATTTTATATTAAAGCCGTCGTACTCTGATTTAATCTATCTAGAAGTAAAATGCAAATATTTCGAATTATAAAATACAAATTTACTTAACAGCACAACAAAATATGGATTTAATGGTTTAATTCGTTTTTATATTTATATTAAGCACATTTTTATGTTAATTTGTGTACGCTAATTTGTGACGGCTTTAATGTGCACCAGTACGCACTGAGGACATTTAACTTGATAAAATTTTTTTATGCATGAATATATACAAATATATATAAATAACATATAACACATAAACATGTTATAAATATTTATAAACGTATCTATATAATTATATATGAAATATATCTATACATCCTTTTTTCTTTTGTAAATTACTTTTCAATGTATTAAAAATAAAAATAACAATGAGAAAACATAAAAAATAATTAAAAGGATAATTTTCGCATTAATTGTTTTAGAAAAAAATCAAGTTTGGAAAAATGTAAAAAAAATTGCTTATATATATATATATATATATATCCACAGATTAAAAAATTCTTCTCTAAAAGTATAAGCGATAATGTAGTCCAAAATAGTGTCAACTTTATGTCCAAAACGAAAAAGTTGGAAAGTTTC